TTGCGGGAAACATCTTGGATTGGACGCTGTGAGTGAGCGATGTTGGAATCTTTTCTCATTTGCCTATTATATGTCTGTGTATTAATATTATGTAGCAATTTTTGGCACCACGAACAAACATTCACTACCTGTGTCTGGTGTAGCGGTTAATAACGCTTCACTGTCACACCCAGGAGACCCGAGTTCGATTCCCCCAAGCTATTCCTGTCATGGTGTTCCCCTGGTCTGTCCCACGTCTCGCACACGGCTCTCACACGTCTCGCACACTCTCCCACGTCTCGCACATTTCCCTCATGCTAGTTTTTAGTGGGAAAAGTGCAACCTGCTTGCTAGACAGCCAGTTTTGTCGAGTGATAAGCGAGCCGTATAGACTGACGGTTGGTCGTGTCTGTTTGTTTGTCAGTGTGTGGCTTTTTGTTTGTTGTCTTGTCTGTGGATAGTGAAGGAAATGGTTGACGAGGCCACTTTCTTGTCTGTCTGTACCATATGGCAGGGACGATCGGACCTGTGTTCTTTCCCTGTCGGTGTGAAGGCTGTCAGTGTCTTGTGTGGTGGTTGTGTAGTGGGGTCGCGTGTGGTGGTTGTGAAGTGGGGTCGCTTGTGGTGCCTTCTCAAATTATTTGAAATCCTCTCAAGCCAGTGTGTCCTTGGGAAAGGCGCTTTTTACACGAATTTTCCCTCTTGGCTTGGTCCTTTCGGAGATGGACGTTAAACTCGGAGGTCCCCCGCTTCTTACATAACCTGACAGTGTTGAAAGGGGCGTTAAACCAGTTACCTATTGATTCCATTTTCACCATTTCAAGCCAGTGTTTCCGATTTGGCTTTCGCACTTACGGGCCGTGCAGTTTTAGAGCTTAAAAAAAAGAAGCATACTTCGATATCCATACAAAAATGTCGATTATTTTTTTCTCTCGTCATTTGAAAGTTAAAGTGACAGACATGTGCATGCCACACTGCGAGACGTAGATTCCTGTTTCTGATTGGTGTCTGGCGTGGCGCGACTTTGTCGATCGTCTCCGCCGCAGATGAGTCAAATGTGTCCGCGCTACGGAGTTCTAAGAGCTTTCGGCTTTGGGACCTCGCCCGTGTGCAAGTGGAAGACAGAACAGGACAAAAGTGTCATAAATAAACGTTCGTTTCTGGCACCAGCCCTTTTCGTGGTCCACGGTTCCTACCGTTGTT